TTTTGTTGAGTTATATTTGTTTAAAATTTAAAAAAATTTCATTAAAAAAGATTTGGTGCATTTCTATTGACTCACCCCATATATAACTAATACACAGTATATATGCATTCAAAATAAAAAAAATCATGTGTTTTTTGGCCGGGGCCCCCGGCTGAAATTTGCCAAGAAAAATTTTATTAATACACGCGCCTTCGAGCGATAAAATCGCTCGAAGTCACAGATTAGATAAATATTTATTTTAAGAAAAACTGGATAACTATATATTGTTTTTCGAGCTTGCGAGAGTGAAACAAAACTAAGTTTGCGAGAAAAAGATATATAGTTAACTAATTTATTAAAAAAAATGTTAACTAACTATATCTGGCTTCGAGCAAGTATGGTGAGAAGGCAAGGATAAATTCACAAAATACACATGCAAAGTAAACGCGATTATGTATGCGAAATCAGCTACCAGGGCCAGCTTTATTAATAATTAACTATACAGTGATAATAATGACATGCTAAAAAATAATATAATAAACTACAGCACTTGTTTTGTTCAATTCACACCCTTTACCAAACCAACATACAGTACATGCTATCACATATTCATTAAATTTTATAATCAATAATCTTTTTACTCCTCCATCTTGTATACCTTTGGAGTCATACGTTTAACTATCTCCATTGTTTCTTGACTTTCTCCCATCACGGGATCAACCCATGCAGACAATAAATGTTTAAGGCTATTTGTGAGATCATTAACCTTGGTCGATGGTGAGGTTGTAGGAACTGGTGTAGACTGCCCTAAGCAATTGTAAATGTTCGATGATATTCTAAACAATCCAAGTAAGGTCTGAAAATGCTCTTAGAACTCTTTGATTTCAGCACTTGAAGTATCTGAATCTTCCTTTCCAAGTCTAATCTTCTTGATAAATTCCTTTTCTGTTCCTTTAGCATCCATTTTATAATTTTCTAGTACTTTTGCAATTTTACGTTTGCATAAATCTATTTTACATGTTGTAGTAAACTTTGACGGAATGTCAGTTAATTCTGATTTTGCACCTAATTGCAAATACAACGACAAAAATGGCATATACAGTAGATCCTCAATGCCTATATAAGCTGGCGACAGACAACTAGTTGCAAATTTTTTATATCCATAACCTCTATTATTAGTAGAGTGATTTTTAACTTGTATTAGTATGTATGAAATACGATCTTCGTTAAACTTTTCATCAAGAGTGCCCATATAGAGCGGTATTATAATACCTGCTCCCCGCTGATTTCGTTTACATGAATATGCAATACCGCGAATCAGAGCATCCCTAAGATCTTTTTTATCTGGAATATATGTAATATTGATAAAGTGTGTGAACTTAATATAAGCTTCACTGAATTTTCTTCCTGTAAATTTTACTGTCTCTTCAAGGCGATTCTTTATTTTCTCATAAACATTGTCCGCGAGTAATGATTTTAAAAATTCTTCAAGAGTTATGAATCAAAAATAATTCATGTTATTTATATTCTTTTTTTTCTCATCTAGAATCTTTTTTTTGATACAATAATCCTAGGTATTGAGAAGTAATAATCTGGCTGTAAGCTCTCCACGGTAACCGGCCTCTACTATGCCTTTTTTTAAGGCTTTAGAGAGCTTATTAATAAGTTCTGTGAGGCTGATTTTTGGATCATTTATTATTCGAGCGCTAGCCTCTGCTAGCACAGGTTCGGTAGGCATCGATATAACAAAATATTTACAATCCTCTATAACACTAATACAAAGGCGCATATTGTTTGCTATTAAATCAGACACATATCCAGATTGTGGTGCTATTTTGATATATAAACAGGGTCCTAGAATAGCCAAAGTATCCAATATTTTAATTTGTACTTCTTTCTTCCAAATGCTAAAAAATTGTCCACCAATAAGCTTATTCATAGCCAATTCGATAATATGTTCTAGTTCTATTCCTTTAAAGTCACTAAAAGGCATTAATAGTGCACCTCACAAAGGTCTTCCATACTGAAAAAAATGATTTAGTAGTTATTAGTCAAAAGTTTTAAAGATCATGAATGCTTGAATCTTTACTTATAGTATATATATATTTTTTTTCATAGTATTAGTTTAGTGCAAGTAAAATAAGTATTATGAGTTGAAGTTCAGAGCTTCAAGAAGTTTGAATCTTATATATTTTTTTTATCGTGCATTAGTTTGTAGATTATTATGATCGAACCGCCACCTATAGCCACATCATTCTTTTTGTAAGTTTTTTTTTTAATTTTTTTTATCAATTCAAAAGCTGTGTTATGTGCCCCACCCCCGCACACAACTGTCATGACCAACCAATACTTGAAGTCATATCCATATAGTATTATTATTTAGTGGTTATTAGTTGAAAGTTTTAAAGATTATGAATGCTTGAATCTTTACTTATAGTATATGTACATTTTTTTTTCATAGTATTAGTTTAGTGCAAGTAAAATGAGTATTATGAGTTGAAGTTCAGAGTTTCAAGAAGTTTGAATCTTATATATTTTTTTTATCACGCATTAGTTTGTAGGTTATTATGATCGAACTGCCACCTATAGCCATATTATTCTTTTTGTAAGTTTTTTTTTTAATTTTTTTTATCGATTCGAAAGCTGTATTATGTGCCCCACCTCCGTACACAACTGTCGTGACCAACCAATACTTGAAGTCATGTCCATATGGTATTATTATTTAGTAGTTATTAATCGAAAGTTTTAAAGATTATGAATAGTGAATCATTTTTTATATGTATATTTTTTTTTCATAGTATTAGTTTAGTATAATAAAATGGATATTATGAGTTGCTCCAAGAAGTTTGAATCTTATATATTTTTTTTTATTGTGCATTAGTTTGTAGGTTATTATGATCGAACTACCATCTATAGCCACATCTTTTTTTTTGTAAATCTTTTTTTTTTTAATTTTTTTTTATTCGATTTGAAAGCTGTTTTATGTGCCCCATCTCATACACAACTGTCATGACCAACCAATACTTGAAGTCACGTCCATATAGTATTATTATTTAGTGGTTATTAGTTGAAAGTTTTAAAGATTATGAATATTTGAATTGTTACTTATATATATATATATTATTGTATATTAGTTTAGTAATGAGTATAATTATTATTATTTAAAAGTTTTAAAACTCAAAATGTTAGAATATTACTTGTATGTATATATATATTTTTTATAGCATATTAGTTTTAGTGTAAGTAAATAGTTATTGGTTAAAAGTTTTAAAGCTTATATGTATTATATAATACCAGTATATTTATATATTATATTGTTTATTAGGTATCAACATAAAACTTTTAAGTACTATATAAATTTGAATTCCACCAACTTTTAAGACACATAAGCATATTAATGGTTTCACTTTTCAGATTACTTCTTTTTGGTGTAACTAAATCTGCACCACCAGAAAATACTCGCTCAATTGGAGCACTTGTTGCTAAAATAAAATAAATTTAAATTTAAAATTATAAAATAAATAATAATAATATATTTTTATTTATCTGGAATAGCTAAATAGTCTTGAGCCATTTTAGATAAATTTGGATATTTTAAAGAATTAATCTATTTAATAAAATTTAAATAATTTTAATTTAATATAAAATATAAATTTAATATAATAGAATAATAGTACCTTCCACCAAATAAGAATATCTATATTTTGATTTTCAATCTCTTCTTTAAGATAACAATCAAGTTCATCTTTTTTACTTTCCACTTTTCTTTTTTTAAATATATGTGAAAAAATATCATCATCATCATCATCTTCTTCTTCAATAGCAGTATCATCATTATTGTTATTATTACTATCAATATTATCATTATTTCTTTTTTGTTGTTGAATAATATTTGGAATTTTATCTTTATAATTTTTATTCCAAATATTAGTAATTGTTTCTTTAGCTGCTATAATATATTCTTCTTCCCAGTCATTCTTTTTATAATATTCCATTTTCAATCTGGGATCTAAAACTAAATAAAAATTAATAAATATAAAATATTTATTTAATTATAAATTAAAAATTAAAATTAATCTTACTAGTAGCAATTGTATATACATATCCATCTGTAAATGGATAATATTCAAGTATTTTAGATTTTGCAGCATCTGCAGCATTTATTATAACTAATTCTGTTGATTGGTCAATTATTTTTTCTAGTTTATTTATTAAGTAATTATAAACTGGAACACTATGTGTAAGTGTAGGATATAATTGACCTTCAACATATTTAGTTCCTTTTTTAAAATGCTAAATAAAAATAATTTAGTATAATATTAAATAATTAGCAAAATATTATAAAATAAAAATTAATTATAAAATTATAGACCTGCATTAAATTTAAAATTTCTTGTAGATATTTCCATTCATCTTCTAATATTCTATAGATTTCAAGTTCTTTATCAACAAGTATAGTATTTTTAATTGTCTAAATTATTCAAAATATAATTTATATATTAATTAATTTAATAAATAAAATAAAAATTTATTTAGTATAATATATTTAATAATAAATTAAATAAAAATAAATTATTACCTGTTTGAGATTTAATGCTCTTTCAATCATCATACTTGTTGAATTCCAACGAGTAGCATTATCAGAAATAAGTTGTAATGGCTTAAGTCCAATATTAATGCATTGCTGTTCAAAATTTTGTCGACGCTGTGGTGATGCTCTTATTTTGATAATAAATTTTTTTAACTAAATATAGTATATTAAAATTAAGTTAGTATATAAATAATATAGTATAGTAATAATAATTAAATTAGTAATTAAATAAAATAGTATAATAATAATTAAATTAGTATATAAATAATATAGTATAATAATAATAAAATAAACTTACTCTAAAAATAATATTATCTAATTTTTTTGTATCTTTATCTTTTAAAATTTCATTATCATTATCAAAATTATGCTTAATATAAAGTTGATCTATTGATTTTTTTGCTGCTAAGTTGATTATGTGAGCAAGGCATCTCACATGTTGATTTTCTAAATTAAAATCAATATTTTGATCATTTAATTCAATTTCAATATACTTAAGCATTTTATCCATATTAGCTGCATTGTCACATGTAATTGCTAATAACTAAAAAATAATAAAATTTAAATAAATTTTTTAAAATTTAAATAATTAAAAAATTTAAATATTACCTTTGAGCTAATATTAAAATTATTTAAAATTTCTAAAAATTTTGTTGCTAAATTTTTTCCAGTGTGTGAGCCAGGTAAATAGCAAAAATCCAAAACCAGTGATTGTAAATTCCATTCATTATTAATCCAATGAATATTAATACCAAGAAATGGTAACTGATTTTTACTAGTCCAACAATCAATAGTAAATGAAAGTGAACTAGAAATATTCTACAAAAATAAATTATATTAATTATATTATAATTAAAAATTAATTTAAAATTAATAATAAATTACTTGTAATTCTTGTTTAATTTGTTGTTGTGCTTTATTATAATGTTATCCAAATCATTTCTAATTGTATCAGCTGATGGAATTTGAAGATTAGGTTGCAAATATTTTAGCATATCTTGAAATTCAGAATTTTCAAGTACTGTAAATGCTTGTTCATCAGATACAATCCAGTTTAATAATTTTTTTCTAAATTCATTAGCTGTAAACTAAAATAAAAATAATATTATAAATAAATTTAATTTGGTTATAATATAATTTAAAAATTTAGATATACTTCGTCATTAAAACTTGGTGAACTTTCAAGTTTTTCTATATGTTTACTTCTTAAATGCTTCAAAAATGTAGAAGTATGTCTATTTGCATAAGATGTACTATAAATAAATCAAAATATATTAATATTTAAATAATTATATTTTAAATAAAAAAATAAATATATTTATAATAATAAATAAATAATTTACAGGCAATATTCGCATTGCCATCTCAAATTAACATATTTAAAATGTGGATCAGCTAGAGATCTCGAATTAGTAGTACTAGAAGTACTACTTAAAATTGGTTCTTCATTTAAATCTTGAGATGAATCAACAATATCCAAAGCACTTGTTTCACTATTTGCTTGAAATGAATCAACTGATATAAAAGAATCTTGTCTTGAAACCATATTTAGAATCTAAAAAATAATATTATTAAAAAATAATTAAAAATAAACTAAAAATATAAAATTAACAATAATAATAAATTTAAAATTTTTATATATCAAAATTAATATAAAAAATATATTTATTAATTTATTTAAATTTATATATTTATTTTTATAATACTGTATAATTATTATTAAATTATTACAACTCACTTTTATTATAATAAACTTTTGATATAGCGAAGATTTGACATAGTAAAAATTTTAGTTACAGAATTATTAAATTTTAGTTTAATACAGTAAAGTATATATAGTATTCTCTCAAAATAAGCTATAATAAAGATTTTTCTTAGCCTAATAACTTCACTATAATAATAGTGAGTTGTAAATTAAGTTTTATTACATATTATTATACTATAGTATTTACATAATAGCATTTTTTCAATTAAAACTCAGATATTACTATGCAGAAACTTAAATTTTTTAAAGTACAGTAACTGCATTACAATTAAATTTAATTGTAATTATGTAATTACTATATCATTATTATGCAGTTACTACATCTTAAAAAATTTAAACTTCTGTAAAGTACTCACTATCCGCTTTCTTAAATACACATTACTCTAGTTATAGTGACATTGATAAATAGTTATATCAGACTATAATAACATGTTTGATGATATTTTTTATTCAATATTCACAAATCTTAATATCTTTAAATGATGTAATTCAATTGAAAAATACTTTATGCTAAAAAGATACTCATAAACTAATAAAAAAAAAACTCTAATATGCATTCATTTCAATCAAATAATAACATTAAACTCTTACAAACTAATGCGCAATAAAAAAATATATATATAAGATTCAAACTTCTTGGAGCTCTGAACTTCAACTTATAATACTCATTTTACTTACACTAAACTAATACTATGAAAAAAAAAAAAAAATACATATAAGAAATGATTCACTATTCATAATCTTTAAAACTTTTGATTAATAACCACTAAATAATAATACTATATGGACGTGACTTCAAGTATTGGTTGGTTGCGACAGTTGTGTGCGGGGTGGGGCACATAACACAGCTTTCGAATCGATAAAAATAAATTAAAAAAAAAAGACTTACAAAAAAAAAGATGTGGCTATAGGTGGCAGTTCGATCATGATGTATAACCTCTAAGTGGCATCTCATAATTTATGTTAAACCATTATAAAAATAGGAATCTTATAACAAACCAGTTTAATATAAATTATAAATGCTGTCTTAACTACTTTTTTTAGTAAATTCTTTTTCTCTAAAAAAAAAATTTTGATAGTATATTTATCAAAAACTTTAATCTTTAATTAGAACTTTTTTAGTTAACTCTAAAAAATAATTAAAAAAAAAAAAAAAAATTTAAATAATGAATCTGCTACTTTAGTAGCTCCTCTAAATTTGATAATCAACACTTTTGTGTTCTCTTCTAAGCAATAATTTTGCACCCCTCTAATTTTTTCATATAACATTTTTTGAATAATACCAAAAAGAATAACCTTAATGGACACCCAAAAATTTGAATTCTGTGTCTATGCCCGTGATAATAAAAAAACCTACTTAGTATATGTGAAATAGATTGAAGACAAATAGGGGGTTAAAATTAATAAGTCTACGGTCACTCGAATTTTACAAACTAAGAACCAATGACTTTCAAATGAAATCGTAAATCCAGAAGCCAAGCGACATAGGACCATTACTGTACTAGAGCTTGAGCTAGCGCTTAAAGAATTCATACTAATCTATCAACACCGCACTATTTTAAGCAATGCTATGATGATCAAAAAAGCAAAATTGTTAGCAGATAAACTAGGAGTTCCTAAAAGCAAGTTAAATTCTTCTTCTGAGTGGCTCCAAAAATTTAAAAAGTGAAATGGAATCCGTCAGATAAAGCTTCATAGAGAAGCAGGTTTTGTTAATGAGGATGTTATTACTGAATCCTTATCTTTATTGCAAAGTAAATACTCTGAATACCCTCTTGACTACATATATAACATGGACGAAACCAGACTTTTTTACTAGTAGTTTTTTTTTTCTTTGATAAAATTTTTTTTTCTTTTTTTTTTTTTATTAAAAAAATTTCTTTCTAGATTGGAACCAGATCAAACCTTAGTAACTTGATGAATTGTAGGGTGCAAAAAAAATAAGAAACATATTTCTGTAGCTTTATGTGCGAATGCTGATAGATCCTATAAGTTGGCACCTCTTATAATTGGCAACTATGCCAAACCCCAATGTTTCAAAAATATAAAAATTAATAATTTACCCATAATATATAGAAGTAATGCTAAGGCTTGAATGCTTGTGATTCTTTTTCAAGAGTGGCTTCAGGATTTCGACTACCAAATATTGCAGAAGCATAGAGGCTAGCATGTTCTTTTACTTATTGACAATTGTTTTAGTTATAAATTAGATAAGTTAACCCTCCGGCATATAGATGCGCATTTTTTACTCAAAAATACAACTTCTAGAATACAACCAATGGACACAAGAATAATCATGGCTTTTAAAAAAGCCTATCGTCATTTTTATCTCCAGTAAGTTATTGTATTGTATATTTTATTTCTATTTTTTTTTTTTTATTGTTTTACTCATTCTTTGCTTTATTATTATTTTATTTATTCGAAGACCCCACTTGGTGAAATTAGGTTAGGATCAGAGGGTTTAAATAGATAACTCCCTAGTTGAGTTGCAGGTATGACAGCTAGTGTGGAACCTA